GACGTCAGCAAAAACTTCTATTGACGGAATGAAGAATCACACTCTGGAGTCCACTCAAAGGAATTGTCCTCTCATAAGAGGCATGTGAGAGGATACGCATCGTCGGAAAACTTCGGAATAAAGCGGCGGAAGTACGAACAAAGCCCCAGGAAACTGCGAAGCTCCTTCACGGAATGCGGCTCATTGAACGCCTCAACTGCTGCTGTCTTCTGGGGGTCAGGGCGAATGCCATCCTTGTCAACGAGATGCCCGAGCACAAGCGTCTGGCGGTCTCCGAAGTGGCATTATTTCGAGTTTAAAATTAGGCCAGCGCTTCGGATGCAGTTCAAAACAGTATCCAGACGAGAGTTGTGTTCCCTGAACGTGCGGCCAAAGATGACGTCGTCGTCGAGGTAGCACATGCAGATGTTCCACTTCAAGCCACGCAGAATGGTGTCTGTCCACAAACCTTTCTAACGTTGTCGGTGCATTGCACAGTCCAAATGGCATCGCGTTGAATTCAAAGAGCCCATCAGGGGTTACAAAGACAGTCTTTTCCTTGTCCTCTGTATGCATCGAAATTTGCCAATAACCGGATCGTAAGTCTACGGAGAAAAAATAAGGGGCCGAATGTAAGCAGCCTATTGCGTCCTCTATACGGGGCAGCGGTATACGTCCTTTTTGGTCACGGCATTCAGTCAGCGAAAGTCGACGCGGAGAGGAATGTTGCGCAACAATATAATCGATTTTTTGAAACCAACATTCTAGATAATTGGATTAATTTCTTTATAAATTGATAACAGGTGATCCATTTTTTTTTTCCAAAATCATGTTGTAATAAGTCCTTTGCGACTCTTCACACTCCGAACATGTGATTTAAAATACATCCCAAAAATGCAACCAACCTGTAGGCCAAGGAAAAGGTGAAACAGGCTCTGTACGAACCCCCCTTACACAACCTGTTTTTCCACGTTTTTCCTTGGCCTTACGTGCAACGCCTTACTCGAGCAGCAGCAATAGCAAAGTGCGATGCTTCAGAGAGCACAGGAGCATTAAAGCACTGTGCAACTATGAGCTATTGTGCAAGGTGTTCTTGCATCAGAATGTCGTGCTTCCCTGAGAGATTGTCTTGTGCTGGCATGAAAACGGAAAAAAAACTCCTCCTGAAAATTAACAGCGTGTACCTCACAGAATACACAGTCGGCCTTAGGCTTCATGCAAAGCTTCAGCCTTCTCTCTATTATGAAAGCCACACCAGTATGAGTGAACTTGGGTCACTCCATTATGGCAACAATATTTAATGTCATTTACTACATTTTTGTAAGTGCACAGATACTTTTCTGGAACTCTAACTGACCACTGTAATCTATTACATTTTAAGGGGGGACATAGGCCTTTAAAATTTTTTTTCTGTTTTTGGCTCAATCTTGACCAAACCTCACCATCTTGGACAGTTATTCATGCTGATTTCAAATATGTAATTGTTTCTGAAATAGCTTCAGTGGATAAAAAGATATTACCATCTGTAATTTAATTAATTATGCGCTTCATTGGGGGCTTTTTGGCAACTTAATCAAGCCAGATCCAAAAAATAAATGCATATCCCCAATGCTGAGGGCTTTCTGTATGGGGTGATGCTATTTTTATCAATTTTTAGGCATTAAATAGATAAGAAAACAGACCAGCACTTACAATGGATATTCTGTTCAATTTTCGCTCATTACTATCCATAATTGTAATTAACAGGCCCCGCCGTGGTGGTCTAGTGGCTAAGGTACTCGGCTGCTGACCCGCAGGTCGCGGGTTCGAATCCCGGCTGCATTTCCGATGGAGGCGGAAATGTTGTAGGCCCGTGTGCTCAGATTTGGGTGCACGTTAAAGAACCCCAGGTGGTCAAAATTTCCGGAGTCCTCCACTACGGCGTCTCTCATAATCATATGGTGGTTTTGGGACGTTAAACCCCACATATCAATCAATCAATTGTAATTAACAGTATGCTTCTAGAGTAATCAAAATAGCATCACCCCATAGGTAATGTTATTACAAATAAAATGATACCAAGTTTGTCATTCTCAATTAACAGTAACATATAAGAAAAACCCCTAAGGTTTAGTGTGGTGCACAAAAACATCGAACTGAGAAAAACGCATTTGAAGTTTCTAATAACTGTAACTTTTGCTAAAGTGAAGCTAGAGCAATAAAAATGGCACCGTTGTATAGCTCTACATTATGTGAGTAAGGCTGTACTAAATGTGTCAATCCACCTTCCCAAAATATTTGCCACAGCTCATTTAAAAACTGTGTACTGGCCGTTGAATCAGTATAAGGAACCCAGTCTACAACTTTGTGGCTGTTCTAGTGCACTGAACACCAAAGGAAGACACATGTTATATATAAAAACATCGCCCTTTTATACATAAAACACTATTTCAAGTAAAACGCACATTTTTGTCCCAGACATCCTTACAGCGAATCGTCGTCTGAATGTGCTGCCTCGGCAATAACAGGCACTTGCGCCAGCGAGTCGTCGTCTGAATGTGCTGCCTCCGCAATAACAGGCATTTCCGACAGCCCGTTGTCGTCAGAATGCGCTGCCTCGGCCATCTCCGGCGTTCTCGGCGGCGCGCAGGCCGCTCTCTTCTGCCGCGCATTCCACGCTCGCTTTCGTTTCCTGCCGAAAGCTTGACGAGTGTTCTTCTTCAGGCGAGCTTCCCAAGCCATGCCGGCGAAATGCAGAAAGACGTATACGTCGGCGACGTCGGTACACGAGCGGGTAGCAGATGAGATAACACGCACGAGAGCAGGCGCCGACGGAGCAAAACCAAACAAACAAAAAAAAAAAGAGCAAGCAACCGTGGCCGCGCCGCCGCGCCAGCCAATGGTAAGCGCGAGACGGGGGGGCTCGCCGGCGCGCGCGCGCTCTAGTCAATCAGCGGTCCGGCAGACGGCTTCGCAAAACGGGGGAGGGCAGTCGTTGTGTTGGAGCTACGCCATTTTGAGAGCCCGCAAAACGCGCACAAAGGAACCAGCTTCAAAACAAGCCCAAGATGGCGCCGATCCGCCGGCTGCTTCGCTGGCGGCGCGCGCGGGAAGTTCGAACAAATTTTCTGTTTTGCGGGTTGTTTTGTGACTCCCGTGATGGTTTGAAAATAGATTTTAACCTATTTTTTTTATCGAATTTAGCGTTAATAATTTGAGGAGAGGTGCTTATAGGTTCAAAGATTCGAAAAATGCGTTTTTCTCAAAATCGATTTTTTGGCCATTTTTTACTTTTCTAAGACTCGCGTCCCCCCTTAAAGGAAGTAAGTGTGATTGTAATTTTCTATAATATGTAGAAGTGAGGTACACATGTCCCCTGTGGTTGTTTTCCTCTGAGCATGGTTTATACCCAATGCAAATAATCGGCCTAGTAGTGAACTTGTCTAATATTTTCTACAGCATATCATTCACGGAAGCTATGGTAAATTAACATATAATATACAGACAGAGAAGCCGAGGGACGCACTGGCAATCTACTTTGTTTTTTCCTCTAATGCAGTATATACCATGTCGAGTGTCGGGGTGCCACATGGTAATGTACCCCAAGGTAACCTATATAAGTTACATATATTCTGAAGAATTTTCCGAAGTATGGATAGATCATCACAAAAAAGCATAATTTCATCATTTGCGCACAACGGTATCTTTACGGCGAAGGCAGGCAGTCTTCGACAGTGCGTATGGCTGCCTATTGATAGTGTTAGTACCCGTTCATCTGCTAACATAGGCTACAGCCTTGAACAAAATAAAAAAAAAAACATGTGAGAAAGGCATGGGTAACCAGTGTTTCTTAATTTGGTCTGCTGCGCAGGGCTGCATGCCGTTTTCACCACAATCGAATGGGTAGAACACTGCCGCAGCTGAGCAGACATTTATGACTGCTATGCACAGGTACACTGCCTGCAAGTGATTGAAGACCAGAATATGAAAGCCCACTGAAATATGTCCGTGAAGCCATAGAGTTTCCTACAATTAACTAGAGAGGACCCTGGTGCTGCGATCACTCAGTAAACATGGAAATGATGGGTAGTACACGAATTTTCCTAATCTTCGTCCTTGTAGGCCTAAACGCACTCATAGCTTCGTTTATCACTGAGTTTTAATTTTGTTTCGTATGAAAGAAAGGACGATTATAAACTTCATGAGATAATTTCAAATGGTGAGTTTAAAAGATTAAAGTATTGAAGTGCAACTGCTGAACATTTGCTGATTTTCATTTCGTGACAAAGCAGCTTCAAGCCACGCGAAGCTAACCGGAGCCGAAAGTAATGAAACAAATCGATGTACTGTACACGTCATGCCCATGATTGCTGAAGCACCATGTGTTGCAGCTGCTTTAGACTCTAGGGCCAGAGTTCCCTCTAGTGTATATTTAGGGAATTCTATACTTGAAGCAGTCAGAGCAAGTCTATGCCATGGAAACCTTGTAATTCACCGAAAACACGCTTAAGTGGCAGCGATGAGAGCCCCCTTGTTGGTAATGGTGGCGACCCTCGCAGAAGGTTTCGTCCCTTTACCAAACTTGGCCCAAAGTTTCGCAACCAGTAAAAAGTAATCAGGGACTATGGTAATGATGGTCTCAAACTGTACCCAAAAGCAAATCTTTAGGATAAATAGGGTTTGTACAGGCACTGAATTTGAAGAGTAGGCATTTATAGGCACTAAGAAAACACACTATGAAAGCCTTTCTCAACCTATAATTTATGGTAATGTATTAAAATGGGGTGAGAGGAACGCAAGGTACAAAATAGACCATTTGCCTAAAATCCTGTTTCTAATCCTAACATGCAACACAATCCGAGCATAGTGAAAGGAACTGTAATAAACAGTCTGCTCCTCCCTTTTGCAAACTTTTTTTTTTTCACCAGCTGTGCAGCTATAGCTGTTCAATCTATATTAATGGGGGTGTACAGTAGTTTAGCTGAACAGAAAAATAGACATGACAAGGGTAAGTAAAGTGTGCTCCCATCCACTTTACTCACCAGATGTTGATGAGTAACGCCGAACTGGTGGAACTGCACTTGGCCCTGCTACAGCACCTCGACGATGAAGAAACCCTGGGAGTGCTGCGGCCCAAGTAGATGACAGGTCTTGTGATGTCACACTGTTCATGTCCAGATTCATCCCTGCACACCGGGTAGGCCACAGGTAAGAACTCCATGCAGGCACACCAATAATAGCATCATCATCAGCTTGACTATGCCCACTGCAGGACAAAGGCCTTTCCAATGTTCCACTAGTCAACTAGGAACTGTGCTTGCTGCTGCCACTTCACACCCGAAAACTACCTAACCTCATCGGCCCACCTAACTTTCCGTCTCCCCTTCACCCGCTTGCCTTCTCTTCGAATCCAGTCTGTGATCCCTGATGACCAGTGGTTATTTGGCTTTTGTGCTAGGCGCCCTGCCCATGACCATTCCTCCTTCTTTTATTCGACTCATCATCATCAGCACCCTGACTACGCTCACTGCACGGCAAAGGCCTGTCCCATGAACCGCCAATCAACCTGGTCTTGTGCTTACTGCTGCCACTTTACACCTGTGAACTTTTCAATCTCATTGGCCCACCTAACTTTCTGTCTCTCCTTCGTGCATTTGCCTTCTCTGGGAATCCAGTAAGTTACCTTTAATGACCAGCGGTTACGCTACGTACCCGGCCCATGTCCATTTTTTTTTCTTGATTTCAACTATGATATCCTAAATCCCAGTTTGTTCACTGACCCAATCTACTCTTTTCTTGTCTTCTAATGTTACACCTATCATTTTCCTTTGCATCGCTCGCTGCGTCGTCCTCAATTTAAGCTGAACCCTCTTTGTAGGCCTCCAGGATTCTGCTCCGTAGGTAAATACTGGCAAGATGCAGCTGTTATATACCTTCCTCTTGAGGGTCGGTGGCAGATTACCATTCATGATTTGAGAATGCTTGCGGAATGTGATCCAACTCATCCTTATTCTCCTAGTTATTTCACTCACATGGTTTGGCTCTGCGGTTACTATCAGTCCTAAGTAGACATATTCCTTTACAACTTCCAGCGTCTCTCCATCAATCGCAAAGTGCTGTTTTCTGCCGAGACTGTTGCACATTACTTTAGTTTTGTGCATATTAATTTTCAGACCTACTCTTCTGGATTCCCTGTCCAATTCAGCAATTATGAGCTGTAATTCGTCCCCTTAGTGACTTATCAAGGATATGTCATCAGCGAGTCGCAGGTTACTAAGATACTCTTGCTTAAGTCTTACCCCCAACTCTTTCTCATCTAGAGTTCTGAAAACCTCCTGTAAACACGCGGTGAATAGCATTAAAGAGATCGCGTCTCCCTGCCTTACACTCTTCTTTATAGGGATTCTATTGTCTTATTTATGGAGAACTATGGTGGCTGAGGATCCACTGTAGAATTCTTCCGCTATGTCTGTGTAGGGTTCTTCGGTACTATGATTCTGCAGTGCCTGAATTACTGCTGATGTATCGACAGCGTCAAACGCCTTCTCGTAATCTATGAAGGCTATGTATAGGGGTAGGTTGTATTCTGTGCATTTCTCTATTACCTTCTTGAAAGTATGAATGTGGTCGATTGTGGGGTAGCCTATACAACATCCTGCTTGGTCCTTTGGTTGACTGAACTCTAATGTCACTTTAATTCTATTAGCTATTACTTTTGTGAATAGTTTGTAGAAAACGGACAGTAAGCTGATCCACCTGTAATTTTAGGGGCGAAGCTCCTTAGGCTATGGGTCGTTCGCTCCTCTGTTTGTATGTAACATGTATATAGCCACCTCTTGTTCATGAATTGCTCACTAGACGGCGCTGTGTGAATATGTAATTTAGAGTACCTCAAGGGGCGCGCACATCGAGGCACCCTAATGTAATTGGGAATAATATCACTAGATGATGACGTTAGTGACTTCGTATAGTTGACGATTAAAGAGGATAGATGGTTGTGTTGTAATGAGAAATTCACAGCATATACTCGGAGTGCATTATGATGAGTGGGACAAAGCGTCCGTCCGCCCTATGCGTGCTTTAGTGTGATAGGAGTGGACAGACGGACGGACGGACAAGCAGATGCTTCACCCTACTCATGATGATTCACTCCGTGGATATGCTACGATTTTTTTCAACGTCTCCTTTCTTATGAATTAAGATGATGCTGCAGCTATTCCAAGATTCTGGTACCCTTCTCAATAAGAGACACTTCATGTAGAAGGTAGCTGATTTTTCCACCACAATCTTTTCGCTATATTTTAGCAGGTACATTGTTACCTTATCCTCGGCTTTGCCTCTTTGCATTTCCTCTAGGGCTTTCTTTACTTCCTTTGTCGTTACTGGTAGGATGTCGAATTCCTCTGGGTTATTACTGCTTCTTACAATATCATAACACTGTTAAGGCCATGACGGCCAACAGTAATTGGAAGTAAATAAATAAATAAAATCATCCTGGTTGTTTCGTCTTCTGAACTCCTCCGCCACCTCGACTATCCTATCCATACTGGTTATGACATTGCCTTCAATTTTCGCCTATGCACAAGTTTGCCTTTGCAGCTTTTAGGCTTCTGCTGCTTTTTACAGCCTGCTCCATTCTCTCCATGTTACACTTTCTGATATCTGCTACCTAACGACCATTGATTAACTTCCAAAGCTCCACTAACTCTATTTTGTTGGTAGCATTTGAGGCTTTCATGGTTTGTCGTCTCTTAATAAGATTTTTCGTCACCTAAGATAGTTTGCCAGTGTCCAGTCTAGTGACTGTACCTACGCCTTACATTGCACACTCTTTGATGATACTAATAAGATTATCGTTCATTGTGTCAACGTTAACGTCGGTTACCTCCCTTAGTATCCTGAATCTATTTTGAAGCGATACTCTGAATTCCTGTACTTTCCCTCCCACCACTAATTGGCTTCTTGCGTATCAGTATTTGTCTTTGATTTTTCAAATCAAGGTGATTATGAGCTTTTACCATTCTATGGTCACTGCATCAGATCTTGCCCACTACTTTTACATCCTGTACAATGCCTGGGTGTGCACCCAGAACAAAGTCAATTTCATTTTTAGTTTTGCCATTAGGACTTTGCCACATCCACTTACGGTTAGCCCGTCTTCTGAAGAAGGTAATCATAATCCGTAAATTATTGCGTTCAGCGAACTCTACTAATAACTACCCTCTAGCATTTGTAGAGCTGATGCCATATTCCCCCACCGCATGGTCTCCGGCCTGTTTCTTGCCTACTTTGGCATTATATTCGCCTATCAGTATAGTATACTGTGCCTTTACTATATAATGACTGACTATACGTATTTATAGAAGTGTTCAACGAAATGATCATCATGGCTCGATGTAGGCCTGTACCACCTTCATCTTATACATTTTGTTAAACTTAATTATGATACTTGCCACCCTCTCACTGAAGCTTTAGTATTCCAGTATGTTGCCGGCGATATTCTTGAGTATAAGAAAACCTACCCTTAGTTATTTTCTGTCAACTAATTCATGCTAGCATAGAATGTGTCTGTTCTTCAGCACTGTACAAGCCTCACGTGCCCTCCTAACTTTCCTGAGCCCTATTAGATCCCATTTACCACCCTCTGATTCCTCGAATAGCACAGATAGACTATCCTCACTAGATAGCATTCTACTATTGAACGTAGCCACGTTCATATTCCAATGGCGTCCTGTCTGGACCCAGGTATCTTAGCACCCTCCGCTGCGTCGCACATCTGACCACTCCATTGGACAGTTGCTTTGCAGCCGCTCAGAACTGAGGGCCCAAGTTTGATTGGTACTTTCACAAGGAACGTAGTGGCCAAAAACTGCGCTAGGGTGGCCAATCCTACTCTGGTGAGGGAGTGCATTACTTGCAGATGGTCGCCACTGAGGCTGCACCTGACCTCCTTTTTTTTCTTCTTGTTTAACGATTCTTTTCTCATGCATTTTAAGTAGATATGCAATTGAGAATGGTTCAACGCTTCTCTTTGAACCGAATTTTGCCATGCCATGCTTGGCTGCTGTGCTATTTCGAAGTAGATGGTCTGTTGCACTTCATAAGAAATTTAGAAAATCACCTGGCCGACTATAAGCTCCCAACTTCACCCGGCTCATAGCTCGCCTTACCCTCTTTTCCCAATTGACCGAAAATCTAATTTTACCATTAAAAAAAAGCACCCAGTGTGGTTTCGAACTTCTGACCTTGTAAGCTTATGCTGGATTAGTGCCTTGAGTGACCCTTCTTTCCACGCGTTTGTTCTCTCCTAACTTCTTCCTGTTACGCTCGTGTCATCTTCCGTGAGGTGCATCTGTGAAGTGCCGATTATTGCTGTCATCACGGCAGCCTTACTCCTTGTAAACATGGGTTAACATTGTCACCACTGCTACCAAATGTAACGTACAAGAGCCACTCACTCGAACACAATCCAACACAACACTGTCTTCGTCGTTCTCTTTTCCCGGTCTGCCCCTCACGCGCCGGTCACCCCGTTGCTATGATCCACTACAACATTGTTGACATTGTTGGTTTCAGAGTCTATGCAAAATAGTTTTCATTGCCACGTCCTCCCTTAAAGAGATCTTTGTGCAGATGCTGGCATAGTACTTGTTTGGCTGGTTGATGATCCACATGAGCTAGCCGGGAATAAAATTTGCAATGCCTTTAACACTGCTGCGCCGCCAAGCCGAATTCGGGAGCATCTTCTGAAGGATGGTCTGTCTCCCTTGTTCGGTTGTGCCTGCCTTAGTGTTAACACGGTAGCAAGAAACTAACGCGACGACTTTGCATGTTTCCTGCGTCAGAGAAAAACAAAGCCCTCCGTGACACTATAAACCTGACTCGTCCTTGCGAAACGCCTAGCTTTCCTGAAAATAAGTGACAACTAGCACTTTCGATGATAGCCTGCGGAGCACACATATCAGCTTTATAAGGTTTTCTTTAGCTACATAGGTTAGTTAAATGTAATCGCCTGGCTTATTCAGTTGAAATGCACCTTGTTTTACCTGCATATAGCATTTGTCAGAGTTCTTGTAGTGCATGAATCCCATAACATTTTACGCAGAAAGTCACGCGTGCTAGCGATTTACTCTTCTATAACAGCAATTTCAAACTGGCCAGCGCTGCGCGGCTTGTTTTCGTACGT